AAACTCTAATATTTAATTCCTGTAGCAGACCCCCCCCCCTCCTATCAATTTTGAACATGGATTGCATATGTATATCATATCACATTGATATGATTGGTCATGTGGCCGCAGCGGTCGGCCCCCTAAACCTGTCCTAGCCGCAGCTCTTGGCCTCCTAGCCTGTACCTAGCCGCAGCGCTCGGGCCAGGAATAGTTCAAAAATCGTTCTCTAGGACAGACCCCAATCTCCCTTCCTCTCATGAATAATTGTTAAATGGAACTTAAAGTTTGCAACCTCTGAACTTTGCCCAAAAAGCGTTAAAAAACTTTTCATGGGGAGTGTGATTAAAAGGATAGTGAAACGTAACATTCTAATACTTTAGCACGAGCTTCATCTTTTCTTTGTCTAGTGTTAGGTGGAAATAAAGTTGGGTAAAATATATGTTTTGATTTGGTTTTATCCTTTTAGGTCCTGTCAAACCCAATGCCGCGTTCTTGATTTCAATATAGAAAAGTCGTCTTTGTATTACCAATAATCGATCGATTAAGGTGGATCCGCATTTGAACTACTGCCGTTTGAACTATGGTACGTTTGAACTATTGCTCGTTTGAACTATTAATTTACCCCCCCCTACAGAATCCTTATGTCCGCCCCTGATTAAACTACATATAAATGTGCGCAAATGTCCATTTTTCATTTAACTAATGTTCAATTAGTCTAATGTTCATTTGGAGTAATGTTCATTTGGACTAACGTTCATTTGAACTGTATGTTAATTTGGATTACTGCAATAATAATATTTGAAACAAAAATTATCAAAGACTTTGCTAATTAAAGATAGCGCATCAGAAAATCTACGCAAATTTGACGCATTTTGTGGTTGAGCCAACGATAGTTACAAATGTCGTCTTCTCTAATAATCCAATACTTTTTACGCTCTTGACGTTTCATAATAATTGTCGTCTTTCGTAATGGATTTAAGAGTTTAAAAACAAAACAAGAAAAACCACCTTAGTTTCCTATCTTGAAATTTTTAATTTGTCCATGGTCTATAAAATTGACTTGTGGATGTTCGCTGCTCAATTGCAGTATTTTATGTTCATTGAACTATTTAATCAAAAATTGAGTCTAAAAGTTGTCTTTATATTCCCCAGTTTTATTTTCACCAATGTATTTCTTTATTCTGCATTTCTAAAATCCTCCAATACTTCATGCCTCAAACCTTTTGTAATCAACTTTAAAAGACTCCTAAGTAAAGGTCGCATACAATGATGGAATAATAGAATTAAAAATGTAGATTGAGAAATACAAAATGGAAGGACTGATATACAATGGATGGAATAATATAATTGAAAATGTGGATGGAGTAGTACAAAATGGAGGAGCTGATATACAATGGATGGAATAATATAATTAAAAATGTACATGGAGTAGTACAAAATGGAGGAACTGATATAAAATGGATGGAATAATATAATTAAAAATGTACATGGAGTAGTACAAAATGAAGGAACTGATATACAATGGATGGAATAATATAATTAAAAATGTAGATTGAGAAATACAAAATGGAAGAACTGATATACAATTAATGGAATAGTATAATTGAAAATGCAGATGGAGAAAATACAAAATGGAAGCACTGCAGGCAGATATAGAATAATTGAAAGATGGATAAACAGATATAGAAATGAAAAGGTAATAAATGAGTAGAATACTAAAAACTGAACGAATATTGAAATAATCAGCTGCCAAACAATTTTCGTGACTTATTTAGGTTTTTTGTTTTGAAATATTTTACCGGAAACCAAACCTACGCCGTTAATATCACTGATTGGGGGGTATTATGGGTACTTCGCAACAAGACACTTTTTACATCTTGTTTTACTACAGTGGGACCCATAAAACTGTGGACTATAAATACGACATTTTAAGGAACTGAAAGTGTATTTTTAAGTGACAATCCTTTCCAAGATGACAATTCCCAATTCACAACTGATCAAGTATAAATTAGATATCAATCATTATGATTTTTAAACCGGATTGTTCTCAATAGTATTGCATGAAAGTATGTAGACATTATCATAATTAAACCATTTAAAATTAAAAAAACGCAAAATCTTCAACATTATTGATCAGATAAAGGTTTCAAGAGTATCCTTGTGAATCTCGAAATTACGGTTAAAGTCTATTTCTGCAAATAGTTTTATACAAGTATAGTTTGGAAGTTTATTTATTAAGTGAAATGGTCTGTGAACTAGTTATACACTGCTCACTTATAAAAGTTCAGTCTGACAGTCGTCTTCCTATTCCACGGTTTTAGGGGTCCCACTGTATTCTGCACTGAGATAAAAAACTTTCTGAAATTTTCAGCCGTTAAAATATTTTATAAAATTAGTTGAAAACTTTACAGTCGTTCTTGATCTCAATTATGCTAATGAGCTGCTGGGATCTTCTTATTCAAGGTTTAAACCCAGGGGCGTAGAGAGAGGAGGGGAGGGTATAGTTCCCAGGGGCGTAGAGAGAGGATGGGAGGGAGGGGGGAGGGGATAGTTCCCAGGGGCGGAGAGAGAGGAGGGGAGGGAGGGGGTCGGCTACAGAGATCCAAACACATACGAATTAAGCATCAATTTTAAAGATGGGATCCGTAAGTTCACAACGCCCTAGAGTTTATCTTAGCAACTCACAATTGTACGTTCCGATTTTTTAACACCAGCGTTACTCAGATATGTGTTTTAAATTTTTATGTTTTCAATAGATTGATTTAATTAAAACCAAAACGTGAAGAAAAATTTTGATTGCATGGTGAATCTTAAAAACTTATTATGACTCATAAAGAATTCATTATAAAATAAGTTCTTATCAAAAACTCTTAAAAGTTTAAAAATCAGATAAAAGAACTTGAGTTTAGTGGTCGACGATTATATCAATAAAATTAAGACGACTTTTTATTAATAGTGCTTTGATCTCTATCAAGCATTTTTCAAATTACAAGTTTACAAGTAAACAAAGAGAGGATGTTAATTGACAAATTATATTTGTTTTATTGTTTATTAGTTTCTGTTGATAATGTTTCATCGTATTGATATATACGACGACGATTGTATGTAAGGGGCACGTGGAAATATATTGGCAGTCTCTTGGCAGACGGTTTGAAAACTGTAGGACTAAACAAAGTGAAGCAATGTATTAGAATTAAGATAATGACACATAATACATTGGACATACAGGGTGTCCCACGAAACATGACAGTATGCAGGACGACTTGAATGTCGTCTTGATTTTTGATATAATTTGCTGCGTTTATTTTTCAACCTAATTTTAGAAGTAAATTCCTAGAGATAATAATCACAAAATTTCCCTTGTCCTGCCATTTCCAAAATGTGGTCTGCCTTTTTTGTGCTTCCAATATTGCCCGAGATATGAAGAATTTCGTTCAGATTTCGACAATTTTGCTTTTATTTAACAAAATTGAAATCTGAACCAAACTCTTTATATCTCCAGTAATATTGAAAGCACAAAAAACGCAGACCACTTTTTGGAAATGCCAGGGCTAGGAGAATTATGTGATAGTTGTTTCAAGAATCATACATGTTAAAGTAGATAGAAGACTAAATGTCACAAATAAATTCAAATACCAATGACGACTTCCAAGTCGTCTTGCTATTGTCATGTTTCGTGGGACACCCTGTATGTAATTTAGAGACATTATAATCAAATATTTGCTAACAATGTTTTTTCTCATAAAATATATTTGAGAACACTATTTCACAAAAATTAAAAATTTTCCTTTTATGAAATTAGCTTTAGAAAAATGTTTTAATGTTCGTCATGTGTATAAACTCCCCCCCCCTCTTCTCATCCCTCTTGTTTGATGGGCACAATAATAATAGTTTTTAACGAAAATTGAGAATATTATTCATTTACCTAAATGAATATTTAAAAAAGATGATGAATGAATAGATGAATGGATGAGCTGAATATAGAGAAAACGATGTTTTTATGTAGATTTACAACCTTGAACTTGGTTGAAAAAGGATATATTAGCTCCATATCTTTCATTCTATACATACACACTGCAGCACAGGTTATAACCTGAGATAAAATAGATTTATATGCAGTTTTAATTAGAGGAAAAGGTTAAGGGGCGTTTTAAAATGGGAGGGGGGGGGGAATCAAGCTGGGAAAAGGGATTGATAGGGAAAAGAAGGGATTATAAGCGTGGTGCAGGGATCAATAACAAAAATAAGTAATTAAAAAGGGGACTAAGACAACAAAAAGGGAAAAATGTTTTAAAGACCAAAAGAAAGGATTAGAACTTATAATGAGGGATAAAACAAATTTTTAAAATTCCATAAGAGGGAGGGATTAAAAAATTAAAAAAGGATTAATAGAAGGGATTACAATTTTACAAACAGGAGAAAGGGATTCAAATTTTCAATTGACT